TTTTCTTGTTTTGTTTTGAGGCAAAGTTTTGTTAAATTGCCTAGCCTGTCCTTGAACGCATTCTGTAGCCCATGCTTGCTTCCAACTTGTAATCCTCCTGCCTCAACCCTGCTGTTAACTGGTATTCCAAACCTGTGTCACCAGTCCCAGCATTTTATTACTTAACTGTAAAGAAAGAAAGATGGAAACCACATGGAAAGGTCCAACTTTCATAGCCACTGCAGTTTCCAATATTATCGTAGCCTTCGCTAATCTCAAATCACTTTCGTAGTGTCTCCCATATCTGCACATTACCTAAAACATTAAAAAATTTTAAATCTGAAAAATTCGGTATACATATGTATGTTCAATATACATACACATATATATACATACATATATATTCAAGACAGAGTCTTGCTATGTATCCCTGGCTGGCATGGAACTCTCACTGATCCACCTGTCTCTGACTTCCAAGTGCTGGAACTAAAGATGTGTGGCATCACATCTGGCTCTTAAAAATATGTTTAATTGCCAGGTGTGGTGGCCCATGCATTTAATCCTAGCAGAGGCAGGTGGATCTCTGTGAGTTCAAGGCCAGCCTTGTCTACATAGCAAGTTCTAAGCCAGCTGGGGCTGCAGGGAGACCCTGTCTCAAAAAGACAAAATAAATTATATGTTTAATTGACTGTCCATTACTATTAAGTAGGATAGCTGAAATACATATAAAATTAATTTTAGTTTATTAAAATAACCTTGCCTGGCTGGGTGTGGCGGCACACACCTTTAATTCCAGCACTCGGGAAGCAGAGGCAGGTGGATCTCTGTGAGTTCAAGGCCAGCCTGGTCTACATAGTGAGTTCCAGGCCAGCTGGGGCTACAGGGAGACCCTGTCTCAAAAAGACCAAAAAAGAAAAAATAATAATAAAATAAAATAACCTTGCCTAAACAGAGAAATAATGGACTTAAGAGTGCTTCTTTATGATAGCCACACATGCACGTATCACACTGTGCAGAGCAAAGTGTATACCCAGGTGGGGAGACCCTGTGGCAAGCTCGCTGCTGTGCTCCGTGTGGCAACTCTTGGGAGGAAGCTGTCCCGAGGGCTGCTTACCGTTTTGATGGCTGTGATGAAGGTCAAAGCTTCTTCCCCTGCATTCTTCTGAAGGAGCCCGAATCTTTTCTCATATAATACAAGGCAGATGCCTGTCATTGGAAATAACCACCAGTGTTACGCGATCCCAGCCATGCCAGAGTCTGTGATTAGCCAGGTATTAAAGGCTCTGTTCGGAGTCTCATAAAATCGTGGTCTTTTTAAAAAGGAGTAAATGAAGTTGAAAAGGTGGAAAGACAAGGACAAGAGGGAAGCGCAGGGTCACGCTCTTCCCTTTCTGCAAGTCATTTCCAGGGAACAGCCCTCAGCATTTGAACGTGCTGACCAGACATGCACTGTCCTCGGTCACAGGAACAGGGGACAGATGTGTCATCGGGTCCGAGGTCCACTCTGCTTTGACTCAGCCATGCTGTTGATGTTAAGTTCTTGGCCTCTGCTGCCAGGCAAAGTAAACGGAGAGCCATGGCGAGAAGAGAGGCTGGGAAGGTAGCGCAGTGGACAGAGCACTCACTACGTGCCAGATACCGGGCTAGCTAGCACGTAACAGAGGATTTTCTGTTCTGTTTTCCATTCCCATTTTAAAATAAGATTTTCTAGTCTTTGAAATTTTTTTGCAAAGAAAATAATTGAATGAATAGCATTAATACCTGTATTCCCTGAATTAGATGCGGTAAGCAAACATTTGCTCTGACTGCCTTTCTCGTTGGGTGTGAGTCCCCACCTAGTGTGTATGTGCCAGTGTGGGTGGCACCATTTACCAGCGACGATTAGTTCTCATGATGCTTCACTGGTAACTGCTGTAGCAGCAACTGCCTAGAAATAGCGACTTGTCCTACATAACCATGACGTGTTCCTAATGTCCTCAACTCTGACTGCCATGTGACCATTTAGAAAGTTTGTCCTATTGTCCTAAAAACTACCTTCTGTAACTGTTTTCTTTCACAATTCAACATGAAGAGCACTATTTGATAGATGGATAATTAGATCTTAATTTACAAAACAGGATACCCAGGAAAGAAGGTGAACACGGGGCTGGAGAGATGGCTCAGCAGTTAAAAGCACTGGCTGCTCTTGCAGAGGACCTGGGTTCAGTTCCCAGCACCCACATGGTGGCTCATAACCATCTATAACTCCAGTTCCAAGGGATCCAAGCCCTCTGCTGGCTTCCTTGGGCACTGCACACAGTGGTGCACTTATATACATGCAGGCAAACTGCTCATATACATAGAATAAAAATTAATTATTTAAATAATAAGAAAGTGAACGTGGCCTAAATCCATAAAATGGGAAGCAGGGTCTGTCCAAATTCATAGCTTCTCTGACTAGATCCATATTTCCCAAACTTTAGAGGTTGTGCACCTTTTTATCCCACAGTGCCTGGCATGACTACTGGAAATGCATGGCACGGCTTTGGGTGGTCCATGAGCTTTAAAATAATATCTGTTATTTATTTTCATAGCAAAGTATTTATGATAATGAACCTAATTTTGAAATTGGGGAAGTGCTACAAGTTTCTCTCCAAGATAAACTTAGATCAATGAATGAAAATGCTCCCCTATTAATAAATGCAGAGGTTGTTGGTCACGGAGAAGCCTGTAAAGTGGTGCATCATGCATGTAAGAGATTGTTTTACCAGATCATCATTCACAACATAATACCCTTTTCATGGAAATCTAGTTTTAATAACTAATTGGCCCCCTTTGTAAAAGGTATTTTTGAGACAGCTCTAGCTGGCCTGAAACTCACTATGTAGACTAGGCTGGCTTTCACAGAGATCTGCCTGCCTCTACCTCCTGAGTGCTGGGACTAAAGGCATGCGCCACCACGCCCAGATAGGATTTCTTTTTTTAAGTAGCGGAGCACAGCACTGCCACAACATCAGGTCTGGTCTGCCTATACATCACAGTGCTTCAAAGTCACAGAACACAGGTGGAATCAACTCGGGAGTGCCTTGAAAGTAGATTGCAAACTAAAGCCATAAAATTCTACCACTCTGCAAATGTAGCCATTCTTTTGACACGAATGTCTTCTTAATTTTTCCAGAGTTTATCACTGACGTCATGTGTAACAGATCTTATTAATGGCTTATCTGATATCCCCTAAGACAACCTCAATTTTATTCAGGGAGTCAGAGTTGTAGTTCTCAGGCACAAAATCATGATGGATTTAGACGTGTGATAACAATCCTGACTCACCGATGCCCCCGCCTTCTTCAAAACAACTCCAGGAACTCTGTGACCCATTTCAGGCCAAGGGGAAATACTGTTTTGTTTTGTTTTTGTTTTTTCCTCACAGGTTCTTGCTGTGATTCCCAGGCTGACCTCAAAGTCATGGCAATCTTCCTGCATCAGCCTCCTGAATACTGGGATTCCAGGCATGAACTACCACATCTGTCCACTCTTTTTGCTTTCTTTAGAAAAACAATCTCTGTGTGTGTGTGTGTGTGTGTGTGTGTGTGTGTGTGATGTGGTTGTATGTATATATGAGTATAGGTGTGTTCATACCACAGCAAACATGGAAATCAAAGGACAACCTTGGTTGGTCCTTACTTCCCCCTTGTTGGAGACAGTGTACCACTGTTTGCCTTTGCACATACCTGGATTCTCCTCTTCCTATCTCCCATCTTGCCATAGGAGCACTGGGACCATAGGCACATGCTATTGTGTCAGGCTTAATATGGGTTCTGGGGATTTGAACTCAGGTCCTCACGTCTGCATGGCAAACTCTACCCACTGAGCATCTGCGTAGTCCTCTCTGCTTTCATGAGGAAAAGGTGACAGAGCAGCTAACTTCACTCCTCCCATCGCCCCTTGACTTTGTGTAGCTGCAGAGGCAAGGTGAGGGGCAGCTGCTGCCATTTTGCCTCAAACCAACACATTAAGAATGGACTTGTCCTGTTTCACTACCTCCTGGTTCTGCTCATCATGACCCGTTCACGCCAGCGTCTTTGAAATTCCTGACAGTGTCCAGAAGACAGCCTCTTGCCAGCTCTTTTGCATTCCTTATAATGAGAATGTCTTTAGCATAGACGACTCCTCACTTAGGCTCCCCCTTCTCCTCTTGCTCTTTTCCTAGAGCCCTAGACGAAGCCTGTGCTGAAATGTGCCTGCCTGGTATTTGTCGCTCTAGAATCACAGCTTCGTGAGGGCAAAGATGCTACCCATTTTGTTCCTCGTGTCACTGGTACCAAACACAATACCCGGCACATAGCTCTTGTTTAATAAATGTTTGTTGAATGGCTTCCTAAACAACCATATCTAAAATGCTCACACTAAGTGGGTTTGTATGGCTTTTCCCTGGTCTGTGATAATCTGTCATTATGGGAGCATCAACAGAACTGTGTTTTATCCCCAAGCTGCTTGCAAAAGTAAGTGAAGAAGACTGAAAAGCCAACTTACTTTCAAATGACCATTTGTTCAGTTCACTGTACAAGTCTTCAATGCGGCCCCTTTCATCTCTCAGCTCACCTATTCTCACGACAAAATCAGCCAAGACCTTAAAAGAAAGCAACAGGAAAGGCCCATCTTAACTGAGGTACAGGAGGGATGAGAAGTGTCAAGCTCGGTGAGCTCACCGATGGGTTCGTCCACTGCACCTACATTGGCCCGGATGGTGTTCCTGGTGATTAGCACTAATTATATGTTGTCTTCTGGGAGGGACCTTCTCTTCTTGGGGCCCTGTCCTGGGTTATTTCCTGTGTTCTTCCTGCAGTCACCAAAGCTTAAGTTTCAGCTTTGATCTAAAAGTGTTCCTGGCAGTGTGTGTGTGTGTGTGTGTGTGTGTGTGTGTGTGTGTGTGTGTGTGTACGCACCACAGGCTGATACTGGGCATTTTCCTCAGCTGGTCTCCATTTTATTTTTTGACATAGGGTCTCTCACTGAACCTGGAGTTCTACAGTTCATATGGACTGGCTGACCAGTGAGTGTCCAGGGATCTCCCATCTCTACCTCCCTAGTGCTGGGATCCAAATGAATTGCTTTACTGACTGAGCCTTCCCCCAGCTCTGATTCTGGCAGTTTAAGGAGGAAAGCACTGTTTCTAAGAAGAGAGGGTGGATGAAGCCCGCAGGAGGAATTGGACAAATTGACACAGCAGCTCAGGGACTGAGGTGCAGCACTGGCATTTCGTATTTCTGTGTCTGAGCAACTGCACATCACTCCCCTGGCTGTGTGAACTATGCTGAATCGGAGCCAGGGAATCTACACACTCTGGAAGCAGCTCCCGCACTAAATAGCTCTGCGTCCTTGGGACAGCCACAAAGGTCTCTAGATGCCAGCGTCCCAAACCAGTTTGAGATAACTAACGCCTCATGCTTGCTGAGGCTGGAATAGAAACACCCATGGGACAATGTTTCATCTTAACAGATCTGCACAGCAATCCCACCAGGCAGGAGATACTTGCTGCTGTTCCTATTTCCATGTCCCACAGGAGAAACAGCTTGGGGACGCCAAGTCATTCACCCACATAAATGATCCCGAGACAAGGGACAAGTGACTTTGCAGCCCACAGGTATGATCAATGGACATGTTTAAGTTGCTCACATAGTGCATTTAAAAAGTACTTTGAATTTGTTACCATTAAAAAAGGTCAAGAAATTTCACGTGCATTTATGGATTTCTCACAACTTGTCTTCTTGTCATTCTAAACCTCACAGGTGACACTGGGTATGTATTCCCATATGGCCATAGCTAGTTGGATGTGGAGCAGCTGTCTCCGCTAGGAAAGGCTTCACTGTGCTGCTTGTTAAATGTCCTGCTGGGCTTGCCTTAACGATTTTATATTACTTGACTCCTAGAAGCTCCTAAGCCCACATTATCTATCTTGTATGGGTCCAAGTCCAATTCAAAATAAACTTCCAAAGTGAACAGGAGTAAGTAGATGGCTATATATGCTTAAACCTGTCCTCTATCGCCCTCTGTTGGCTAAAGGATATTGTTCAAATACTTTAACATGGCACAAAGTGCTTGTTCAGGCCCACTGTGCAGTTATTTCAGAGAAAGGCTCCTTCCTCGGCACAGACAGCCAGTGCTCAGAACACGTGGCATTCCACACATCTATATTTTCAGAAGTCTAGTCTGCACCTAGACGCTGTTCCCATGTTTTTGGCTTTGCAGACTCCTATTCATGCTGCAAAACCCAGTTCAAATGTCACTACCAATGAGCTTTGCTGGTTAGTCCTCAGAGAAAATGGTGGGCTTGGGCTTTAGAGATGGGAAACAGACTTAGGCGCATGGCCACCTCATAGGTGGTAGAGACTGTGGAATAGCAAAGTCTGTGCTTGTAACTTCCCACCTTGCAGTATTGGTTCAGAAGGTGGGGAAGGAGGGAGGAAGAGGAGTTTGGTTGGGGGAGGAGAGTGGAGAGAGAGACAGCAGCCTCCTGAACCACTCAGGATGCTTGTCCCCACCCCTTTTGCCTCTCCCCCAACCTTGTAGCTGTGACTTGAAGCTCCATGAACAGCCCCCTGTCCCCGAGACAGCTGGCCCCCGTCCAGTCCACAAACCTCATTGATTTTCTTGTCCAACTTCATGACCTCCAACGGCTTCATCAGTTTCTTTTGAAAAGCACCGCGGACCCTCTGCCAGTCCTCCCCTTCCCTGGAGAGAAGGATTACGTTAGGACCCCTCCAGCAGCTACTTCATGAACCTTCAGAATAAAGGAGCCCTGAGAATCCCCCTAGAAATGTACAGGGAATATTCGCATTAAAGGAGTATTTGCACGCTCCACGGTGGGTGGGGGAGGAGTTCACCAGGCCCTCTGCTCCCTGAGGAGCTACAGACAGCTAAAGCTTGCTAGGGGCGGGAGAGGAGTTATTTTCTTCAGAGGTGCAGAGCTGACTGTGCCCGTGCCCCAGTAAATGCCTAACCCCCCCCCCCCCATGCCTACGGAAGCAATCCTAAGTAAATGCAGTGAATCATAAAACACAAACACAAAAGACTTGGGAATAGGAGGGGAAATTAGTTGGGAAGAAGGGGTTCGACAGGATGGCGATGAGAGGGGGGAAGAGAGGGAGGTGACCAAACACATTATATACATGTATGAAATTATCAAAGAGTAATAAAAATTTTGAGTGGCTTGACATTAGGATTTTTTTTGTCTTTTTAGAGTACAGTCCCTTCGTAGCCCAAGATAACAACAGGAAGGTGACGCCCAGATAAACGGGGCTCAGCGCTTTCGATGCGCCCTTGGGGAGGCACGTGCGCCCCGCTCGCAGTCCATCGCCTCGGGGACCCACTCTCTATAACAGGGTTGAGAATTCCGCCTGCTCCAAGTAGGGTTTTCAGTGTCCGCCTTGCACAAGCAAGGTCGGAGCGCAGCGAACTCTGACTCCCTCCCCTTTCCCACTGCCCCGCACGTCTGGGCCTCCATCTTGCGGACCGGACTCACAGGATCAGCAGCCCGTAGCCCTCGTGGCGGTAATCCCGGTAGGCTTTCCAGGGTTTGATCTCCAGTCGCTGGGGATAGGTGCTCTCGGTGCGGTATAGAGCCTCCAGCAGGCTCGGCGAGCCCAGGTGCACAGAGTCGAAGGAACCCAGCTTCATCCGGAAAATCTTGCCGTACTTCTGGTGGTACTCTGCCTGCAGCGGGCGGGCCCAGCGCAGAGTCAGGGCGCATCCTCCTGTGCCCGGAGCGCTTCTGCCTCGGGTCACCAGAGCAGCCTCCCCCACCCCCCGAGGCGGGGGGAGGTCGGGGTTGGGAGGAAGAGAGAACTGGAGCATGACAGACTATTTACCAGAGTGTTATGCTGTTTCTTCAGGCCTCCTTTCCAAAGAATCTCCAGCAGACTGCCCAGCAGTGGCCAGTTGGTGGGTCCAGGGAGGGCGTCCTGCGTCTTGCCACCGGCCATCAGCGGGCAGAGGGGCACCTCTCTTGGCATAGGGGGAGCGCACGCCTTGGATGTCACGCGTCTGGGGGGCTGCCCTAGGTCGCGCAGCTGCTGTAGGAAGGCGACCAGGGAGCGCTTCTTGCCCATGGGACAGCTCATGGCAGCAAGGGGCACAAAGGATGGGACTAGGAGGGACTGAAAAGCGCAAGGTGGTTAGGAAGTGCTGCTGGGATTTGAGATATGGGAAAGAGAGGCAAACGGAACCCGCAGGAGTGATGGAGGGGTAGACAACAGAAACCTTGGCGAGGATGCTGCAAGGTGTGGTGGCTTAGAGTGCAGGTGCCTGCCACAGGGGCCGGGGAAGAGCGGCCAGGGGTTGGTGGCTCTGGGAAGGGGAAAGGGAGGACTGTTGGTCCGCTGGATGGTCTGCAAGTTTGACTTCTAAGGAGTGAAGCCACAGGTCGTCGAGGAGGGTAGGCGTGCTGCCAGCTCTGATGCTCCGGGCCGTGCCTCCCTAGGCTCCAGGACCCGGGGACCTCGTATTTATGTAGACAGAGTATGCCCTGGGTGTCCAATGAGCTCGCTGAGTCGGGCGGAGGGGGCCCGGCTGGCAAGGGACGGACGCGGGGCGCGGGAGGTGGGGTGGGAAAAGGATGGTGTCAGCGGGGTGAGCGAGGGCACCTGGGCCTCGGATGACCGATGCGCGGACGCACTGTGGACTCCACCCCGGAGATAGCTCTGGGAAGGAAGGTCGAGCCTGGGGTTCAGCGGGTGCGCGCCTAGCGTGAGTCTCCGCCCTGCCGTTGCAGGCTGCAGCCGGTCTCCCTGCAGCCCCCGAGGCTTGTACAACCACCGTGCAGGGCCAGAGAGGTCGGTGACGACCGCCCTAAAGGCTGCCGGTGCGCGCCAAGGGAAACAGCCCAGCCTTCCGCCTTCGCAAGACAGGTTTTCCCCGCTTGGGTCCGACTTGTTTTGCAGTGAAAGATGTCTTTCAGAGCCCACGACGGAGGGAAGGACCTGAAGCTAGACTGCATCAAATCTTTTTGATTTGATGTTAGTTACTTACCTTCTGTATGTGCGGGGGGTGGGGGTTCTTACGTTGGGCAAGAAAGAACAAAGTTTGGAGACTTTCCTGCGTGGATGCTTCAGTGTGGGTTGGTAGGGGATTAAATGGATCAGGGCATGTAAGAAGTCTACAGTGATGCGTGTCCACGTTCAATATTCAATAAATAGGGTGGCCGTTGTTAGTTCAAGAGGTTGTGAATTGTGCATGGCTTGCTACGAAGATTACAATTCTTTCCGGCTACTTCCCTACATGCCCCTCAGGCTTCCCTTCTTGTACATCAGCCACGCCCTGCAAAGCCCCAAACAGGCCAGCAACCATCCCGCTTCATCTCTACAAAGTACACTAGACGCAGGTAGAGCTACGCATGTGCTGCATGTAATTCTGCCGATGTAGCTGACAGTGGAGAGCACTTTCCTAATTCCGGAAAGGAAATCAGCCTCTGTTGATTGAAAGTGACTCTAACTGTGAGCCAGCAGTGCCCAGGCAGGAGGTGAGGAACCTCTGCTTCCTCCCAGTGCTTTCTAGTCACCTGACCTAAGATCATCCTGACTCTAGTAACTAGCAAATTTTTCCCTGTTAAGTCTCTTGTAAACATTTGGCTCATTTCTGGCAAACCTTTCCACGTCCAATTCGTGCTTAAACACCTTCGTTTCAAATTTGTCCTAAGATGTTAACAATGAAAATAATAGGTGTAGATGTAATAATTTATACACAATGTACTAGACCTATTTAAATATGCACTGTACAGTATATACATCATATGTTATAGATTTATATAATCCCTTGTGTGTCAATGTAACATATATACTATGTGTAATAGAGTTTAGGACATATGTATAGGTATCATGTATGGACTATGAATAAAAACTTTCTAGAGCTTATGATAAAATAGGTGTTCTACTTTGCTTCTCTGTTGCCGACTGTATTAGTTACTTTTCTGTCGCTGTGTTAGAAATACAATGAGCAAAGGAACTTATAAAAGGAAGAGTTTGTTTTGCTTAGAGTTCCAAAGGGACAAGAGTCCATCACGGCAGGGAGGCATGGTGGCAGAGGTGGCTGGAGGAGGAGCAGAAGCTCAGTTGAGGTTCCCCCTTCCCAAATGACTCTAGCTTAGGTCAAGCTGATCATAAAAACGAACCAGGATGATAGGTATCGTGCATTAAAATGCCCATTTAAATTTCACCCTAACCCAATGTCAAAAACAAAAGGCAAAAGTGAATATAACAGCCCCTGATGTTTAAGGAATTACTTTGCTCAATGGCATGGACCTTTGCAATGGTCCCTGTGGGGCTCACATCCAGCAGCTCTGATTCCAGCCTGACTCCTCGGCATAGATATCCATATATCATCGTTTTCATTGCTTTCTTGAGGCAGAGTCTCATAGCCCAGGCTAGCTCAAACTCTCCATCCTCCTGCTTCCACCCCCACAGCGCTGGGATTACAGGTTTGTCCCATCATGCAAACTTCCCATTGGAAATCCACTCAAGTTATTTATATCATTTTTTTTATTATTTTTATATTGTGTGTATGCATGTATTGCCTGCATGTAGGTAAGTGCACCCATGTCATGCAATGCTTGCGGAGGACAGAAGAGGCCGTCAGATCCCCTGGAATTGGAGTTAGGGACAGTTGTTAGGTGCCATGTGGGTGCTGGGATTCGAACCCAGGTCTTCTGCAAGAACAACCAGTGTTCTTAACCGCTGAGCCATCTCTCCAGCCCCCATCTTTTTTCTTAAACATGAACATCTCAGAATACTGAAAATATTCCTTAAATGAGAACATTCCCAAGGTTAGGCAGGATCTGAACACTATCGTTATGGTGCCTGGCAGAGGGTGGTGTGATGCAAGTGGTTCAGGGTTGATGGTGGTGAAAGTGGATTCCCAATGGAAGACCTGTTTTATCTGCTTCTGACTTGTTGTGTCTGGATGCAGTAAGACTGATGTGTTTTGACTACATTGTTATTTTGGCTATGAGTTCTTCCCCCTTTTTTTCCTTTGTATGCTCAGTGGGAGTACAGATTTCAGATGTGGTGGTCTTTCCTTAGCGTATAGTGCTAAACTTCTTATATACTCTAGAAGTAGGGGCTGGAGAGATGGCTCAGCGGTCAACAGCACTGACTGCTCTTACAGAGGACCTGAGTTCAGTTCCCAGCATCCACATAGTGACTAACAATCATCCACAGCTCCAGTTCCAGGGGATCTGATGTCCTCTTCTGACCTCCATGGGCATTGCATGACACGGGTGCACTTACATACATGCAGGCAGCACACTGATACACAGGGAAAAAGTAAATAAAATATTAATAAATAAATAAATAAATATTCTAGGTAGATACTTAGAAGGGCAGGCTACTATTAGTACCTACCTAGGAGCCAGTAAGAGAAATCCTATTTTAGGGAATCCAGTGTCTGTGGTGCTAAGTAGAGAAAGTCCTCAGCCACTTTTATACCAAATGGAAGGGAAAACACAGAGTTCATTGAAAGCCCATTGAATATATCCCTCATTCATCCTTGATGAGGTCCAGAAATTCAAAACAATTATTGTCAGCACGGTCTCAGGATCTCACCTTCCTCCCTGGGTCCCACACCTCGCCTCCGTCATTCCATAACTTCCATGAGTCATCCAAGCAAGGATTCGGTCAGGAATTCCTAATGAAAGATCTGGAAGTGGCTTGTCAGTGCCTAGCCCCATTCTTAAGACCCATCCAGACCTCCTCTGTTCTTCTAGGAAATCTCACCAAGTCCTGGAAAGGTTAATTAGACCACAGGCTTCCTACTTCACAACCACATGGCATTGTGTCGGGAACAGTTTACTGGTGGGCAATGGTGGGTTTCTCTGTAGTGGAAATTCAAGCCCCTTTCAAATATATGGATGGGCGATACAGTTTTGTGCTTCAAACTTTGGCTAAGTTGGGGGTGAGAGTTTGAGATCTGCTTCTTGATTGTGGAAATTTGGAGAACTGACTTTCCATTTCTTGAACAGAACGTGTTGGCACCATCCTACTTACAGCCAAGCATCAGGGAAGCGGGAGTAGTGACAACAGTCTCATGGGGCTCCCATGAGGCTGCTGCAGGCAAAGTTCTTAGCAATCTAAGGCGTCTAGAAACTTACCTTATAACGTTCCTGCATTGACTTGGTTCTTTCAAATTACACAGAAGGCAGGTGACTTATATGTTCCAATCATTATATTTGTGCTCAACTAAATAGTTGTAATGTGTTTATTAGATTCTTTGTGATGCCGGAGCTTGAATCTAGCACCTAAGCATGCTAGGAAAGCATTCTACCGCTGAGCAAAATCTCCAGCCTTTATATACAGTGTCTCACTAAGTTGTGCAGGCTGGCCTTGAACTCTTTCTGTAGCCCAGGCAGGCCTTGAGCTTGCAATCCTCTTACCAGGGTGTTCCAAGTAGCTGGGAGCAAGTGTAATTTTGATTCAGTAACGCTGTACAGTCAAATTAGGCTGAGGGAAATGAGTAAAGAGACACTTATGGGTTCAATTTTAAGCCCAGCCACTGAGCAGCATGCACGTCTGAACCAGTTTCCTATCTCTGTAAGCCACAGTGATGCTCCCAAAGTTGTGTCCCTCCCATGGGGCTTTTGTGAAGGTAACAGGAACAGGGCCTTGACATCAATCTCACCATCCATGATATTCCTAACTGTAGGCACTAGGCTCTTAAGTCATTGAGGACAAATTCTTTATGGCTTTATCTGCGGGGCCTCCGCCCAATTAGTTAAATCTCCTTGAAATCGTAAGACAGACATCATCATCTTGTTTTGTCTCTCCCGTAACATATGACACAGTACTATTTATGTGGGCCAGCACCCAATAAATAATAGGCAATTGATTATTGATTATTTCCTCATTCCCCAGTGATAGATAAAATGATTAATATCAATGGCTCCTTTGTTTTCTGAGGAAGTTATTGTTAAATCCTGGGGAACCTCATTTGGCTGTCATACAGAAAATAGTCTTATATGACAAAAATAATAGTTTGGGTTTCAGCAGGTTGGATTGAAACCATGTCTCCAATCCTCACGAGCTGTGTGGGCTCGGAAAGCCATCTAGCTTCTCAGAGCCTAGTTTCCTCTTTG